ATGCTTCGTCATCTTTGGCGCATCGAGGACAGAAGGTCAGAGGAGGAAAAGGTACCCATACCGCTACCCTTTCCTCGATTTCCCTTTTTTGGCCTCCTCGGAGGCCCTCGTTGCCACCGCTGGATTCGCCTCGAAATCCTGGTCAGAGCGCACCCCGAGAGAGGTCCAGGGAAAAGCGGTATCGGTACCTGTTGGTTCCCCCAAAAGAGACCCCAACTCTAATAAGATAGTGAGGGCGTGACCTCGCTTGAGTCGCTTGGTCTTCGACAGTTGCACCGCGAAGCTATTGTCTGTTGTTTGAGACACGATGGAGCCAGAGACCTGCGTAAAGAGCAGAAGCCTAGTGGATTTACTTGTCGACGTGATCTGTCGTCTCCCCTGGTGCAGCTTGTCCGTGGCTACGCCGTTGCGTCTTTTGGCACGCACAATATCGTCGGCCTTCAAGCTCTATCCTGGAGGTGCGGAGGAGAGCGTCAAGTCGGAGGCCACGAGCTGTAATCAGGGGGTCCTCGAGCAGAGTTCGCGTGAGCCATGTGACTATGCATGGTCGGTCTTGCAGGCAAGCCGTACAGTGGAGACCCATGCCAAGAAGCAGCCTGCTTACCTCCAGGGTGCCCTGTTTTTTTGGTTTCGATGGTTTTGCCATGGGAAGCGTGACGTGCCCACACCAAACGCCAATGGACGTCATGGGGTATCAGGGTTGGATTTCGTGTGGAAGGTTTCTTGTGGTCGGGATCCTACTGTACAAGGGCTGATGATTCCGCAGGCTCTGGCCTCGTGTCGTTCGCGGGCGTGCCTTGTCAGAGGCAAGTCTCCTGGGCGTCGGTGTCGGCCCCCTCGCGGCCACGTGAAGGGTGGGCTCCGGTGTTCGATGGGGCTGCTCGGGACCCGTGGCCGTCTTGGTGGCTCCTGGCGGCCCCTGGGGCCGTGGCCCGAGTGACGCGCTCCCGAAGGGAGGGTGGTGCCAGTTTTTGTTGGTGCGGCGGCTCGTGGCCCGCGGCCCTCCCGCAGCTCGGCTCTGAGCGGTGGTGGTTGCGATGGTGGCCAGCGCGGTACGGGCAAGGCAAGTGCTTCTACCAGCGCGCAGCCACGTGCAAGGTTCGACGGCGAGCCCGAGGGGGAGGTGAGCAGGAGAAGGCCTTCTCAGAAGTCTCGGGGGTCCCCCAGCCGTCTGAGATGTGTTCTAAGCCGTCCCCGAAGACGCAGAACGTTTCTCAGAAGGCGCGAGTGCTTCTGACAAGTCCCGCCGCCTTCTGAGAAGGCCGTCTCTTTCTCACTTCCCCCCCATCGCTCGCCGCCCACGCTTTCTCTGTCTTTCTTTCTCCAGTGGCGTTGCCGCGCCATTCCGCCGCCGCGCTCGGGCAGGCGCTCTGGGGGGGGGGGGAGCGGACACCGGGGGGGAGGGATAATCCACGGGACGTCCGTCCCCAAACCTCGTATTTTGGCACATGTTTCAGGCGATCGCAACCCTGGATCAAGGGGGTGTGGATTTGCGACGGGTCCCGTTTCCATTGGAAATCGCGGATTTCCGCCGCCGAACGGGGGGGCACCAGCCGCATTTTGGGGAGGGCACCTCCCCCGATCCATGGATTTGGCGACCGCGCGCCAGATCCATGGATCGCTAATCCATGTTGACGCGCCCCCGAATGTTCTGCCTGGAAGGCCAAGACCAGGAGGACTTGGTCGCAAACATGGGCGCATCTCGGGCTCGATGAGCCGGGGGACCCCATGCATTGTTACGCTGGGATCGGAGGTGACGATAGGGGCGAATAGCGCAGGGGCGGGCGTTACACGTATTCGTCCGGGAGCCTCGCCGAAGGCATGGACCATCCTGGATGCATGTTTTGCTCCCCCCTTGGCTATTCGCCCCTACCGTCGCCTCCGAAGGGAGCGAGAGGGCCCGACACACTTGGTGGCGGATACAGGCTGGAACATGTGCATCACCAGTGGCGGGCTGCTCTTGAATCCCAGGACTCTTCGAGGGCCGGGGGCGCGGTCGGAGTGGTGTGGTGTAGACCCGTTTCCCCGTGTTCTGGAGGAAACTGTTCGTCGACTTCGACACCGCCTGGTTCCGAGGCTTTACCTCCTCCTGGCCTCGTTCTGAGGCTGCGCCCCCCTTCTCCTCCCCCTTCTCTGCGTAATTCAAGCTTCGCGCGGCCCGCTTAGCTTCGACCGGAAGAGGTGCGCTCTCGACCCGCGAATCAAAAGTGTTTCGGAGGAAGCAACGCAACATGTACACACCAGGATCATACAGCAGGATCCGTTTTCCTGAGCGAGCCTGCGTGCGGGGCCAGGCAACGTGTCGGTGTGTAGAGGTCGGCGCCTTCTCTCTCTATTCAGAGTCCGCCCGCAGGCCAAGAGTTCTGTCGGGCGTGTCCCTCTACGGGAGGCATAGTTAAAGATAGTGAAAACATAGTCTTGTTACGAGTTGTTTAGCATTCTCGTATATTTTCCGTTTGTTTATTATGTCTCATGTTTCTTCCAAAATCTGTTACACTTTGTTTGTCTAATCGTTTCGCTCATTCCGCCGGCCCATAAGGCCTTGCCGCTGTCGTCTGTCGGGGTGTTGTTGTCAATACGGTGCGGTTGCGCGGCTGCCACAGTTGGAGGCGGTGGCTGGCGGCCAGAGGCCTCACGGATGTTGGCTGGGCTTGCGCGGTTGGCCTCTCCGGGGCCTCTGGGAGGCAGTTTCGAGGCCTCTTGGAGGTCATATGTTGGGGCCACTTGGGGGTCTCTTGGGGCTTCTTGGAGTGCCTCCTGCAGGCCCCGTGGGGCCTCTTGAGGGCCTCTTGGGGCCTCCGGGGGCCTCTTGGGGCGGATGGCGGGACTTTTCGGTTCCTGGTCCCCCTCTTGGGCTCCTCTTTGGGCCGCTTTGGAGCTCTCTTGGGCCGTCTTTGGCGCCTCTTTGGCTGTCTTGGGGTCGTCTTGGGCCGTCTTGGGGCCCTCTTGGATGCTTCATGGGCCGTCTTGGGGCGGTCTTGGAAGCCTCTTGGGCCGTCTTGGAGCGCTGGTAAGCCGAAAAGGCGAGAACGCCAAAAACCGTCAGGAGCTGAAGGGCAATCACTAATTTCTGCATCTGTGGGCCCTCTTGGAAGTTCTCTTGGAGGCCTCTTGGGGCGTCTTGAATGCGCTTCGGGCTGTCTGGAGGCAATCTCTGGCGTCTCGGACCATGTTGAGCTCTCTTGGAGGCCACTTGAAGCGCTCTTGGGAGCCTGCTGGGACCTGGCTGGGACCTGCCCGAGACCTGCCCGGGACCCGGCCGGGACCCGGCCGGGACTTGCCCGGGACTTGCAGAGGTACTCTTCGTCCAGACCCCTGGGGGCGGCCCCGCGCGCGCGAACTAGAAATATTGTGGACCAGTTGCTGGAGATCTTCGCACGCCCGTTGGGCTGGCGAATGTTCCCTGCAGAAGCCGCCTGTGGGAGGGCATGCCCGATCTGAGCCAAGGGGGGGCTGTGCTCGTGGGCCTCTGGCCGCCGCCCCCCCGGCGCTCCGCCCCCGCGCGCAGGGTGCCACGGTCGGGTTCTTTTTTGTTGGGGCGCCGCCCGTGCTCGGGAGCGGAAAAGAGGGGGGTGATTCAGGAGAGGAAAAACACACAGACACAATTAATCCTCGATTTTCCAGAAAATATGGGAAAATATGGGAAGTGGGGGGGAAGACAGAAACCCAGAAAATATAGGAAAATATGGGGAATATTTTTATTTGTGTGTATTTATTTGTGTGTCCTGGAGCCCCTTCAGTGATGACCAGGGGGGGGTGGATTTCATGGCGCGGGCCATGATTTTTCCACAGATTTCAGGGCGCTTCTTCTTGTTTCATGACGTCCCAGGCCCCCCCGCTGGGCCGCGCGCATGCCGCCGGTCATGATTTGCACCCCCCCCTCTTGGACACCCCCCTCTTGGCCGCTCCCGAAGGGTGCCATGGTCGGGTTTGTGCGGTCCCGTGCTCGCGGGAGTGCTTGTAGGGTTAGGTCGGGCCCGTCCCCTTAGAGGAGGGAGACTTAAAGATCGTCCAGAACCAGTCTCGGGACGGTTTTCCTACGATTTCTGAAACATGTCCGAGCAGTTTTTGAAGATGATCTAGCTTTCTTCCGAAATCCGCCCGTAGGAGGGCAGGCCCGACCGAACTGCAGGGTCCACGTGCTCGTGGGCATCGGCCCGTCGCCCACGGTCCGACGCCCCTGCTGGGCTCCCGTTCGCGGGCCCCGAGGCGGCGATCCCGCTCGTCTCGCCCAGCGGGTCCCGATGTTGCGGTCCCAGCGCTCGCGCACTTTGCGTGACCCGTCCAGCGGTTGCCTGGCGTCTCTCGGACGTGTGCATGGTGTCTCGGCGAGAACCATCGAGGACCATTCTGAACTATCGAGCGAAACAAACACGCACGAAACCTACAAAAAAAAACAGGGAATGGACGTCCGAGCGACGGGGAGGTTGTGGGTCCACGTGGCGCACCAGCGGTTGGGTTGCTTGTGCGGACGACGATCCATGGAGAGGAAGCACACTACCAGCACATTTCCAGATAGCTAAATCATGCTCTACACATACGAAAGCGAAACAACACATATCTCAACATTTGTAGTACATGTCTCCAACATTTTAAACACATGGTCAAGTACATGATTGGATTTTATGGCTGTCCATTGCCATAGCATCCAGAACGCTGCATCTTTGGTGGACCCCGCCTGTCCCCACACGTTGTGTCTTCTCTTGTACCCAGCGCGGTCTCGATGCGGGCTCGACGCGGAGTTGGAGTGGACCCGACGCGGATTCGACGCGGATCTTACGAGTCCGACATGGATTCGACACGAATTCGACGCGGATAGGGCCGCGACGAGACAGATAAGGTCCCCCGAGGATGCAACGTAACGTCCAGTTGTTGTGTGTCCACGCGGCACACCAGCGGATGGAGCACATGTTTGCAATGTGTTCGGTTCAACCTCGAGCGTGGACACCAATTTCGGGCGTCGTGATGTTTTGGGATCAACTTCGTTCTCCTCCTGCCAGGCGAAGTGGACGAGTTCAAGAGGATGCTCGACGAGGCAAGGCGGGTCGGCAACCTGACTGACCGTTGGCCCAGGAGAACATGCTCCTTTCAGATGCGCGCCAGATCTTGGGTGTAGTTGGGGTTCCCCTGCACATGCTCGCTTGTGCGATGGCGCTATCAACGGTCAATCGGATGGGCGATGGGCTGTGTTCACGGCCGGGCACAACGCTTTTGATTTGTGCCCATACCACTATCAACCCAGTTTGCCCGAAGTCCAATGTTTGCCCCATCCTGATTTTAACCGACGCAAGAGGGAATACATGTATGGTGTCTGTAAATATGTCAAGGCCCGCGCGTCATGGCAAGCCGCGTTGCAACACATCGGATACGGTATTGTCAGTCGACCGCATACGCATACACATCGTATGCTGCAGCTTCTCGTATATTGCAGTATGCTGTTCGTTGACGGGAAGGGCGAGACGGCGGAGGAGGAGGAGGATGAGGCGGAACTGTAAGAGAAGGACAGCAGGGAGTGAACGGAAAGATCAGATAAGGAGCAGGGGAGCGGAGGAGGAGGAGCAGGAGGAGGCGGAGGAAAAGGAGGAGGAGGAGAAGAAGAATTAGCCGTGGCCGTTTGGGCTCAAGGTTTTGAGGTTTCGCCCTTGAAAACCAACCGGATGCCGCAATTCTGCGGCAGTGCTAATCCTTTCGCCAGGTCCGTCCCGGGCTGAGCCGTCGCTGGTTCGTCCCATAGATGGCCTCGTTCGTGCCGTCCCCGTCCTTGATAAGCAGGGATCCGGCGCAAAACGGATCTGCCCCACCAAGACCCGGGGGAGCTGATTCAATTGTTTCACATGTGTGCGGCTATCGTCCAGACGGCACAGTAACAGGCAATGAGCCCCTGCGGGGACCTCAGGGGGAGCGGGATTGGGCAGGACGAATCCACAGGTCATCGCAACCCCAGCAGGGGCCACCCCTTAAGCCGCCTAGAAAACAGCAGCCCAGCGGGAGAAACCTCAGCCCCATAATGCCCGGCAACACAATTTCGTCAGATGAAGGAGTGGGTTGTTGTGTTTCCATGGTGTACGAGGGTTGGAGTGTCGGCAGCATGGGTCCTACGCGGAGTCAACGAAACAAGGTGTATGACCGCAAGAGGACCGAGGCAACTGTCATCGCATACCATTCCCACATCAAAGAATGTCCCGCAGCAGGTCTCAAGACTGCAACACGAACTACTACAAGCGGAGCGACGGGGCTGAGCAAGCAGCGGTGGCAGCCAATTTATAACTCGAGAAGGCCAGGACCAGTGCATCCCAGAAGTTTGGACAGACCGGTCAGAGGTCAGCCATTGGAGCAGAAGTGCAGGATGGATTTTACAAGTTCAACAAAATCCTTGCGCACTGTGGCAGCAGGTGAGCCAACTGATGGAGCCGAGGGAGCGAAGGCGCCATCGAGAAGCTTCCTGCGCTGCGCAAGTAACTTTTTGAAAGTAGGGGATGGTGGTAGTGGCAGCGCTGGCAGCGCAATCGCTTGCAATGGACCCGCCGTCGCGACTGCAGCAATCGACGAGTCGCCCATGGGGGCCAACGAGGACCCATACCTCTCTGGACCAGCAACGGCTATGCAGGCGCGGGCACGTAAACATGAAACGGCGCAGGCGACGCCAGAGATGAGCTGCGCGCGGCAGCCGTGGTTGCACTGTTCAAGGAGAGGGCGAGCAACAGACAGCTACGAGTTCAACGGCGGCTTTTGTTTTCATGGCTGTGGGCCAGTCGTTCTGGCGCGGCGCCAGGCTGGGTGGCTGAGAAGGGGAGGGACTGTCCGAGGACGCGCGGATGGCCGCAGTGCCGCCCCATTCCGCGCGCTCCAGTCCTGTCGGCGAACGAGCGGCCAGCGCCGCCGGCGCTGCCAGTAGTTCCAGGAAGTTGTTGCGATCTGAATGGCCGGGCGCCGCGCGCGGAGGCCGAGGGCGGGATAAACTGTTCGCGGGCGCGCGGGCGGGCGCACTCCCGCGCCGTCGACGGACGGGCGTCCGACGCCGCTCAGTCGACGGCGCCGCCCTGCACTTCCATGAAGGCGGGCAACGCAGGAGGCGGCGAGTGGGGGGGGCTGCCCGCGGACGCGCGGGCGGCCGTCGCGCGCCCCCTGGGCCCCCGCGCCGCCGACGGGCGGGCGGCCGCGACCGGCGGAGTTGACGACGTTGCCACCTGCGGGTTGGGGCGCGTTCCAGTTTTGCCTGGCGGCGCCGGCGACGGGCAGCCAGCCTCGGGGCCCTGGCAGAGAGGCCCCGTCAAAAGCAAACAAAATCCGGCGACGGCGCTTGCGATGCGCGGCCGGCTTCGAAATTCGGGCACAAGGCGCCGTCTCCAGGTCTCCACGACAGTTCCAAAGGAGCGAAGCGATGTAGACCGCTGTTGCATATGAAGGGGGCAGAGAGCAGGCGAGGCTGGCCGCGGGCGCGGGGGCGACGCGCCCAGGCCCTGATCGCGCACAGCCCGGCGTCGCCGACGGACGGGCGACCGAAGCTGGCGATTTCGATGACAAGGCCCCGAATGGCGCCGTGGGCAGTGCCGAAGTGAAGGGCGGAGTCTCATTTTCGCCAGCAGCGCCGCGGGCTGGGATGGCGAGGCCGCGTCGTGCATCAGAGGCCCGGGCTCAACGCCGGCTGCGCCGGATGCCCCCGGCGCGGCGGAAAGCCGCCATCGAGGGCCGCAGTTCGCAACGTCAAACAATGAGATTCCACTGGTAGGTTGGGCGACTGAGTCGGCGTCGGCCGTCGCGACAAGCTCGCGCGGGGCACGCGGGCGCGATGGGGCGCGTAGTCAGACATGCGCCGCCGTTGGAGCTCGGAGCCTGACCGCGAGGATGACGTGGCAGAGTCGCGCTTCGGACGCAGGGCGTCGACGCGATCTCCGCGACCATGCACCTGGCAACGGAATCTGGGCCAGCAGGCCCACGCGATCCGGCATTGACAGCAGCGGCGGCGCATTTGGATGCCAAGGCGACTGCAAACATCATCGCGGCTGGCGGGGGCGTGGGGACTCACGCGGCATGCTCAATAGGCATTGTTGCGCGCGTCAGAAGGCAACTGGATGGCCCGAGACATCGAGCATCCAGAAGGCCATGGACCTGATCGACGGATGCTTGATTGCCCAACCAATCGGGCGCACTCGTCGCCGCTAGTGGATATGCCCCGGAATGCAAGCCACAGTGCGCCCCGGGAGAAGTCGGGCGAGCGGCAGCAAATGCGCTTTTTGTTTTCCAGAACAGGAAGCTCCCTATCAGGCCCAGTTCACGAACGTGAGTCGCGAGGAGCGTCAGGCATACGTCAGCCGCGCGAAGACGGCTCAGACCATGCAGGCGTGCGCTAAGTGCAACTGCAGTAGTTTAGGCTGCGTCGCGCGCATCTACGCGCGCGCCCTCGGGCACTGCTTCTGGCACGGTAGGCCGCCGTCGTGCTGGAGGGCGCGCGCGACGAGCGCGCCCGCGGGCGCGCGTTGGCGAGGGAACTGGGGAATGCACAGGAGACCGTGCAATTTCACGAGCACCAGGAGTTCCCAGATCCGAAGTGTTCATGAGTCGTAGAAGGACGAAGAATCACAAACGCTCAGGGCCCCCCATTCCCAAGCAACGCAGGAAGCCCAACAACATCAGAGTTCGAAGGTTGTCGAGCTTCCTGGGCGCGGGGGCTCGCGCCACGCGCAGTCTTTGGCTGTTTTTCCTTCCCCCGCCCAGCCCGCGGCGGGGCCATCGGCATGCCGGGGCAACGCTTTAAGCTTTTGGGCCTTCTTTAGCGCGCCGCATTTTGCCCGTAGCTATCGCCGCCCATTCAGGTCATATCCGTGGACATGCTTTCAGCGATGAGCATTGCAACATCAAAGTTCAAAAGGATTTCGAAGCTTCCTGGGCGGGGGGGCCAGCGCCGAGCGCAATGCACCCGCCATCTTTTTTTCTCAGCCCGCAGCCGGGCCATCAGCACGTGCTGAGGCGACTTCTCGCGACCTGATGCATTGGACGCGCTGCCGCAGCTCATTCAGGTCAAGTCCGTGGACGTGATTTCAGCATTGATCATGTTGTGTTCAGGCCGCAGTCCGGGCTCATGGCGAAGACTTGTGTAAGTTTTCATGTGGCTAATACTGCGTCATCGTGCGACTGTCAAGTGCTACTATGCACCCAGCATTACTACGACTACTACTACACCGATTGCTACGACTACTACGACTTGCAAGTATTTACGCGACTACTAGCCCTGATTTGCTCAAAACTTTTGAGTGCAACTACTACGACTACGACTACTATGCACTTGTATTCGCAGTACTGCGCTTAAGCGCTAGCAGTATTCAACATCACCACGAAGTATTACTACTGTAACTACTACTACGACCACTACGAAGTACCAGTGCTCCTGCACTTACGGCTTAGGCATCGCATTTCTACTCTTACCATTCAACACTATTGTTACTACTACTAGGGGTGACCGGCTCCTGGGCGCGAGCCGCTCCCCCGGCCCCTCCCTACAGCACTCCGTTGGGTTTCCGCACCGTCAGTGTGTTTGTGCGTGTGCGGTGTGCGGTGTGCGGTGTGTTTCGTATGCGTTTCCTATATGTTTCCTATATGTTCCCTATGCGTGTTGTATGCGTTTCCTATATATATATGCCTATACGTTTTGTATACGTGTCCTATACGTGTCCCATATGTTCCTATATGTGTCCCACGTATTTCCTATATGTTTCCTGAACGTTTTGCATGCGTTTCCTATATGGTTCCTATATGTTTCCTATAGGTTTCCTATATGTTTCCTCTACGTTCTGTATACGTTTCATACATGTGTCTTATAGGTGTCATATGTGTCCTATATGTTCCCAACATGTTTCCTAAATGTGTCCTATATGTTTCCTATATGTGTCCATTTTGTTTCCTATATGTTTCCGAAATGGTTCCTATAGGTTTCCTATTTGTGTACTATATGTTTCTTCTGTGTTTCCTATGTGTCTCCTATGGGATTCCTCTTACGTTTTGTTTGCGTTTCCTATATGTTCCTATATGTGTCTTATATGTGTCCTATATGTTTTCTATATATGTCCTTTTTTATG